AAATGTTTTATGAGTACTTTTATATGCTTTTAAGGGGGAGGGGGATACAAGTAAAACACTCGATTATTATTGTGTGTTATATAAAGTTTCACTATACGCGTTTTATCAACAGAATCATATGTGATTTATAACTATTATAGGGAAACTTTCATATGCAAATTTTACCACGACAACATTTTATCTTTTGAAATAAGAAATGATTCATGTATGTATGTAAATCAGACACTCTGCTTATACTATATTTATGTGTGTCGGTTTTGGCACTACAAAAACTATACTTTTCATAACAAGTGAACATTTTCACTAGGAATTACTATACTAAAGAAACACACTTTTAGAAAACTATAATAGGTATAGTTTTACGAGAATACTACGAACTTTTACATACATGGAGATACTATTTCAAGAAGCTACTTCCATATACAAGAACAAACGAACATTTTCACACGTAAATCTGTTTTATACTAAGTTTTGTGAGACATTAAACTTCACGTACGCTCGAGTACACATTTCAAGTCCTGTATTATATACCAGAATCCCTTGGAAGGGGAGCATGGTGTTTGTGTATAGATCTATACGGGATTGAAAACCCCGCACCCTGACTGTTAGCTACAGTACACCATTTGGGGTGACAAACGTCAGAACATTCCAACGCCTGAAGAACGTTGTGTATGGGCATTCCTTGTCAATAGCATGGTTATAAAACTCACATAGAGTATTAAAAACACATTGATTTACGGGGTTTTTCAGATGTAATGGAGGTTTTTAATACGTACATAAATTCATTTACTTTATGCATGAAAAACCCAATTGTGATATAAGTTTGGAACTTCTAAATGGGAAAACATCAACTTTTTAACATAGATTGTTCTTGATTTAAAGCTACGTTTATATCAGTAGGAAATATGGGATTTTCTAGAGACTAACAAACAAAAACGAACCAATTCATTTTCATACAAATACTATCATTAAATGCTTATGAAACTCACCAGCTTAAATGTTGATCTACTCTTTCAAAACTACTTTTATGTCCCAGGGACTCAGTAATTACAGGTACTAAACAGCTTTTGAAGAAGGAACGCTGTGGCACTAGTTTAAATTCATATTTTGGCATCATATTGTAATTGGTTTTAAACAAGTACTCTTTTAAACAATGTAAACTTTCAATTATATATATGATGGTTGTATTGCTTTCTTTACTATGTATTCATTTGTTACGTTACCACATGAAGTCATCCGCCCCCGAACGTTTCCGCCGTTCCGGTTTGGGGGTGTGACAGATACAGATTCCTCCAGCTCATTGGGCAAGATCTCATTTATCAGGTTAGTACTTTATCTTTCCTTTATGTTAACATTTACTTTCCATTGTTAATATTTGTTCTCATTTTCTATTATATGACTAAACAAGGAGGGCACATACTAACATCTTGTTGAATAACCTGTGTGAGGTTCTGAATGGAAATACAAGGTGGTAGGGACAAACCTATCATTTATTGTTTGGAGTATATTAGAGAGTATTTGATGAAGAGAATTTGCAATGTCTAAAGAGAGATTGATAGATGCCATGGTCCTCTCACACCAACTGCCCCTAGTCTTCTTGATCAAATGAAAATACAAGCACAAAAGCACAGGTGTATTTTCAATGGGGTTAAAACTCAAGTCACTACTCATTGGGGTGATCAGTTTATTGTGAATTTGGATGAAAAAACATGCACATGTAGACATTGGGAAATTACAGGCATGTTATGCTCACATGCAATAAGTGCAATGCGGGACAAGATTAAACATGGAGCAGAGAATGCTCCTAAGTTGGAGCATTGGGTACACCCATGCTACTGGCTGGTTACATGGGCAAAAGTGTACGAACAAAAAATTGAGCCTATAAATGGTAGATTGATGTGGCCCAAATCACAATGCCCAACCAAGTTGCTTCCACCCAAACATGTTGTTCAGGTATGTCTTCATATGTAACGCCCGTAGATCCGGGCTAGTCAATTTACAGGTAACAGGGGTCGAAAATGACTTTTCGACAAAAGACTATTTAGAATAAATAATCTTAACCAAGTTTTAGAATATGTCACAAGGTTTCGTACATATAAAGAGTTTCGAAATCGGAGTTATAATGAAGAAGTTATGACCCGTCGAAGTTTCGCGACGGAATCGGCACGGCACCAGGAAGTGTAAATAGTGATTTTACGATGGAGGACTTTTTAGCCTTAGTTATCTAAACTAAAGTCGTATAATATGTTAAACCGAGAAAATCCATAAAAAGAACGCCCAAATTTGACTTCGTATGAAGAAGTTATGATTTTTCTAAGATTCGGCTTAGCAGTGCACGACCCGAAACTCGAATTTTAGTTCGAGCCGTTTTTGGCTTATGTGACTTAAATGAGAGTTGAAGATCTCGTTAATAGGAACTTAACAGTAAAATGACAGACGAAAACAGAGTCCGTATGAAGGAGTTACGAATTCTTCGCGGTCATTTAACAGTCTAAACGTCTCGTACTGTTAAATTTAAGATCGGTCGAGAATTAGCGGACGGAGTCAAAATGAAAGTTGTAGATATTATTTTTACCTACGTGTGGATATAAAGAACGTCAAAAACGGAGGTTGTATGTGAAATTTACGGATTTTAGAAGTCGGAAGTGTGTTGTGCGAAAATGGGTGATGTGGCACAATCTTGGCCATTGCTTTCTCCCCAAGTCTTGCCACTAGATGGTGACATGTGGCACCAAGTTCAGCTATTTTCACCCTATAAATAGAACCTCTCCCACCCTCATTTTCTTCACACCTTTCTCATTCTTTCTTCTCTTTACTCTCTCTCTCTCTCTAGAACCTCTCTCTAACCCCGAAACCCCCCGAAAAGCCTAGGGAACCTCCCTAGCACAAGGCGGAAGCCCCTGAGTTCTCGACGGCTCCGAGAAGAAGAGTTTTTCCGCATGGGAATGCTGCTCCAAGCAAATCCTGGTTTTCTATAAAACTCGCTGTAAGTGAGCTACGCTTACGCTATTTTTAATATAGTTTTTATTTATTTATATTAATGTTATTAAGAACATATAATAAGTAATTGGGCTATTATTATGGGTTATATAAGTATTGTTTAACGGTTATATAATAGTAATAATAGCTAGATTATTAATTAGTCTCGGTGAATAATAGACTAAACTCTAGTGGTAATAATACTAGGTTTCGTCGAAGGAAATTATTTTTTTTCAAGAAGTGAAGCGCTGTCTGAGTTCGGAATCACCACCTTTTCAAGTGAGTGCATAGTTAGTTTCATCTTACACATAGATATGAAGTATTTTATATAAACTACGTGCTATGTGTGCATATTATCTGTATACTTGTTGTCTATGTTGGATGAACGTTTTTATACATGTTTTAGATGATTTAAACTGTATACGTATTTTATATACACGAATATGTTGGGTATGATACGGATAGATGAATGATGAGAGATAAAAGATGATGTGAGTAAACATTGGCAGTTATAGACTTAGTGACTAACTAATAAACATCAGCAGCTATGGACTTAGTGCCTATTGGACAAACATCGGTAGCTATGGATTTAGTACCTGTTAAGGAATTGGTAGCTATGGACTTAGTACCTATTAGATAAACACTGGTAGCTATGGATTTAATACCCGATGAATAGACTATAGCAGCTATGGAATTAGTGCTTTATGAACGAACATTGGCAGCTATGGATTTAGTGTCAGTCCTATAACCCTGGAAGTAAGGGACTTCAGAATAAACGAATGCAGAATAGATGACTCTTAGGATAAATCCTTAAGAGTAAAGAAGATAATGGGGATGGGTAATTGGGTTGATTGTTTGATTGTTTAAACATAATAATTATATTATTGTGGGTTGAAAACCCTATGTACTCACCAGGTTTCCCAACCTGACCCAATCAATTTATTTATATCACAGGTGTTGATATGAAGTCACATTACACTGAGAGATTAAAGAGATGTAGATCACTAGTGTAAATAAATGTAAGTTCTGTTTATGCTTATGTTCATGTATTGACGATGACATCCCAAACGTTTTAAAATGAATAAAATACGTTTCTTCGAAAATGTTTTAATAACGTATTTATCGTGTTTTTCTGGGAACGAATCCCGCAACATTTTTATTAAAAGAAGAACTCTAATTTTTATAAAGCATAAACAACATTGGTCTTTTCTGGCCGTGAAAATGGGGATGTCACATCATATATCAATATAACTGCGGTTTTTTTAAGAACAACAATTTAATCTTATGTACGTTTGTAGGTGGGTAGGCCCAAGAAGAAAAGGAAGAGGGCATATGATGAACCTGCTACACAGGGGCATAAACTGTCCAAGAGGTGGACCACTGTCACTTGTAGAAAGTGCAACAACAAAGGGTATAATTCAAGAACTTGTAAAGGTCATGGTGGCCCTAATGACAAAAGAACTGAAGAAATAGGAGGATAGAAGTGAGGATGGGGGTGTTGCTGAGAGCCATTAGGTCTTTTAATGTAATTTGCACTTTACTTTTATGGTTATGTTAACACATATGTTTATGTACCAAACAATACTTACTATGGGATCCTTATTTTGTATGGTCATGCATGTTGACCTTGAATCATTGTACACATAGGTAAACTATGAAACAATGTCAATTGTTGTTGTGATATACAATAGCATTTTTGTTATATTCTTGTTCTTGTCAACTAGTATTTGTGATATTCAAAGTGTATGGTCATGCATGTGAATTGGTGTTCTTGTCAATAATATTTGATTGCACAAAGCCATGACACAATAACCTTGTTCTGAAATTAAACCATTTTATTACAAAAAGACTATAACATTAAGACAACATTAACCATAACATAATTTACTGCAGTCAAACTCAAAAAAGACACAAACATTACATAAACCATGCTACAATTTCCTATCTTCATACTCAAAATAAGACCACCAGTACATTAACCCTATAACTACGACACTACTTCTTGCATTCAGACACCACATTCAGAGGCAACTTCGACCATGCTTCAAGTAATGAATTGCAAAAAGACCCCAACTGAAGAGAATGATTAATTTATACATCCTAGCTTGCAGTGTAGCTTGTTGAAGAGATTCTTGGAGCTTATTCATAGACCTGATTAACCCAGGTATCACTTCCACCGATCTAAGGCACATCGGCTCATCAAACCACCCAATCCAACCACACCTTCTCTCATTACGAAGACAAGACCAAAATCGCCTTCCAGGGTTGCGATCTGACCAGGAAGTGACGATGGCTAGATCACAATTTCCACAAGCACATATTGGCATTTTCCACAGCTTTCTTTCTCTAACAGTAGTAGTGATCGATTGAATTAGGAGGAATAACAAGAAGAAGTAATATAAACGTTAATTTATTGTTCAGAAAAGGTCCTTTATGCTAAAATGACATAAATACCCTAATGTGCAAGTCACATGGGGGCAACTTAACGTTGGAATGGACGGACATCCAACTCGGGGACCAAACGCGTGCAACTTATGGGCCATAGGTACTATTTGAGGGAAAAAAGTACCATAGAAACTACATTAGGGAAAAATCCAAAACCTAAAGGACCATTCGCGTAATTTGTTCTAAAATATAATCAAATAACAATTTAAATTATAGAGTAAAAAAAGACATGAGAATAAAAAGAAATTTTATTCCAATACTTGTCATGAAATTATCAACTTTCTAATACATATAACTCACTATTTATACAACCAAAATAAAATAAAAGATGAATACACAATATGAAACACATTGAAATGATTATTACTAATGTTAAATAATAATAGAGAGTTATAGGAAAAATAGTGAATCCAATTCTATTCACAAACTAATATTTCATAACAAAAAACACTTTTCTTACGATTAGAAATCTACTTTTTTATGTTTTGATTGCAAATTTTTGATTAATCAACTACTTATTATAAACTTTAACTATATTAGAATTAAGCAAAAATAAAAAAAACAGCAATACCAAACGTTTATTATAACAATCTTCCATATTTTACATTTTACATATATAACTTTGAGTTTACAAGTGTGTAAATTACTCCAACTCTCCTTAAATCCAAATCTGTCAAAAAAAAAGATAAAAAAACATGAGTCGTAACAGCTAAATACATCATTTTATTCATAAAATAACTAACTTAACGACATGTAAGCATTTTACAAGTCAATATAGGTAGCTAAATTATACCTGGTGTGACAAGTTAACCTTAAGACAACAAACAAGAGATCATTTTGTTTACAGATTCATGGCCATGATTATTAACACTTGGGATGATATTTTCTGGAGATATAAACTTCACAAACTCTTTAAGTTCTGTAAAATTGCTATGCTCACTATATGGCACCTCATACCTACACCACAAAAAAAAAAAACATTATAATTCATAATAAACAAATAAATAAAAGTACCCATTACATATACATCACCTTATAATGGTACCCTGTTGTGACCTCTTTCCTGGGGTTGATTTCTTTCCTTTAGTAAAAGACCAACCAGTTGGAGAGAAAGCAACAATAAGACTATATCGACCCTGAAAAATCAAATACCATTATGTTAATAACTTAATATTATATTTATTAAGACATTACTGAATTAGGTTAAAGATTGAAGCAAAAAGCAATCACCTTATACATGTTAGATGCATGTTTTAATCTTTTAAAGCTTGCAAGTGTCCACATAGGCACAACATGAATGTTGCTTTCCCTTTCATCTAAAGTTAGCCATTGCATGTCTTCTTTACACATTCCTAAGCATTCTAGAATTCTCATTTTTGCTGCATTGACATGTATTTTCTTATGAAGGACACGAGCTACTTCCATGAACACCCTTTCTTTTCCTGTATTTTTTTTTTTTAAATTTCAAAGACAGAAAAAAAAAAAAAAAGTAAAGAGAAAGAAATGAAATTAGGATGTGATAAAATTTTATTTACCGATAGTATAGCTGCCAATTAGAAACAATGTTCTTGGATTAAAAGCTTCAGCTTGTATGGCTTCAAGAACATATTGAATCACAGCATCTTGCTTTGGAAAATCATACTGCAAAGATTGATTGTTTATAAATTTTAAAAACTTTATGTTTTCAAAAAATTTATGTTTGTGTATACCTGAGGATCACAATAAGTGGTATCTAAGATAAGTGTTTGGACATGTCTCTGTAAACCAACAATCTTTGTCATATCTTCACAAAAACGAAAATCTCCTGTGTGTAGAATAGCCTGTTATGCATTAAAAAAAAAGTTTTAAAAAACACGTAAAAGGTTATAAAAGTCAAAGTCAGCATGATAAAGAGTTACACACCTTACCATTTGGAAGTTCAAATAGAATTATTACAGAACCTGGACAATGATTAGCATCAAAGCATGTGACATCAACTCCAGAAATGCATATCTTTTCATTAAGAGGTAAAACTTCAATATTCTCCCATGGAATCCCAAGCTTTAAGTTTACAAGTTTTGCTGTAATTAAACTGCAGTAAATCTTTCCATGGCAGAATGATTTTGTAAGACCTCCGTAATCTGAAAAGACGTAAATGCCCTTTTTACCCTTATGGTCAAAAATAGTGTTTTTTTATTGAAAAAATGATATGTTAAAGTAGAACTTTAAACACGTACGATCTGCATGGAAGTGTGTAAGGAACCAGTGAAAGCAATCCCTTCTCAGATATTTAAATGCATCCTAATAGAGTATTAATGTGAGAGAAAAACATTTTGGTTATAAAGAAAAGTCACATTTTGATAAATAAGAATAAGAGAGCATTAAGCATACCACACGGAAGGGTGTTGGTGTTCCTGTGATTGAACACCATGGGGGTATATCTCGGGTCTTTCTATTTAAGACATTCTTTTTCACAATATTACGTTTATTGCCATCATTTGAATTGGGTTTCACCACTTGTGTTTTCACTTTGGGAGTGAAACCAGGAAAAAAATCTGTAATCTTCTTATTTGTGATTATTTTTGTATTCTCTGTGTGTGTATTCACCACTTTTTGAGGTGTATTCACTGAATCTTGTGTTCTTAGTTCATTAAGAGCATGAACAATCTTCTTCCTGGGACCAAGAGCAGTAATACCTATATTGTATAGATCCTGCATGAAACAATATGGAGTGAAGCTTAATGATGGAATGGAACTGGATGAGGGCAAAATGGTAAAATGTTAGGAAGCATACTGCATACCTCATCTGTCAGCCATCGCAGACTTTCCAAATCAATTTCTTCTCGGATGAAAACTTCTTCATACCGAGATAGGCCAAGATTGTGCAGCCATTTAGAAACAGGAGAAATTTGACGGATTTGCCCTTCAGCTTCAGGAGAAGGATCATCAAGAACTTGTCCAGGACATTCGGTTAAATTGTCAGTATTAGGAACATCTACCTACAAAGTAGTTTGCAAAACAGTTCACAGATGAATCACACACTTGATACAGTTAATCAGAAACAATGGATGAGGAAGAAGGTGTTACATGATTATGATTATGAACTTGCTCTTTATCAAGGCACTCATTGGTATGAACATGTCTCAGCTCCTCACTCATGTCAGAAATGTCAATTCCACACAGGGGACAGCTAATAAAACCAACAACATCCATGTTATTGTTATCAGCATTGTCCATAGGCGTATCCTCATCTTCAGATGAGCAACATAAATCAAGCAATACATCAAGCTGTGTAGTTCCAGCATCCTGATTGTCATCAGATCTTTCCTCTGCATCTTCGTCTACCTTCTCATTAGAATTTTCACAAACACTTAATCCACACTCACCCCTGAACCTCGACAACAACCTAGACTCTATTGAATTCGATAAGTAGCCAAACCCTTCTTTTGGTTTTGTTTCTTTCTCATCATTCGTAAATGAATCACCGTTGTCTAATACATTGCTGCAGAATACAGTCGACTCCATAGATTCTAGAGACACAATTGAATCCAAACCTAAATCAGGTGGAAGTTCGAGATTTTCCTTACCGGGATAAGCATGAATCTTTTTAGGCTTCTTGGGTTGTCGATTGCTGGCGGCATTGGAGGATTTGACTAACTGTGATGAGCTAGGTTTTCTTTGGGTGAGTGGGAACGATTGAGTTGGGGTCTGAAAATCGTCGTCATCGTCGTTGATATGAGAAAAACTAAAAGTGGATTGTGAATATAGGGGGGTTTTCACCTTCTTCGATTTTGACATGAACGTAGTTTGAAAAAGAAGAGCTTGAACGATTCGAAAAGACGGCTTCTTGATCCTGTGGTGTTTTAGGTGAGGAAAGACGATTTGGGGTTTTCAAATTTATGACAACTAGTCAAATGGAGGGAAGTGTCCGGATAAGGTAATCGATTTTTAATTTTTTATTGTTTAAAGACAAAGGCTGGTGTGGTAAAAAAATTCGTGATACCACTAGATTTCTTCCACAACAATCAATTATTTGCCTGTGAATTTATGTATTGAGGTATCGTGTCATCCATAAAGAGAATAGGAAAAAGAGGGTAAAGAAGATGGAGAGCAGAGAGAGGAAGTGTCCATGGAAACATACGGTGGGTAAAAAGGAGGAAGTTGCGCGGTGTTCACCGCCCGTAAGGGGTGCACATCTGATTACCGCCGATAAAAATATTATGACACCCCACAGCCTAAATTGAAAAACTATTTATTTTATTGGGTTATTGTCACTGTAGCCCAACAAAATTACGTATAATGGTTTAAATGGTCCATCGTGACTATTTTTTACATTTTAAGGGCATAAACTTGTAATTTCTGGTTTTAAAATGACATTTTTGGAAAAATGAAGGGGTCACCCAGTGACCCCCATCCTACATACGAATTTTCTATTTCCACCTAATATCCAAATAGTTTAATTTAGTCCACATCATTGTCACGTGTATATAGGAGTTAATGAGAGATATTGTACGTTTAAACCCCTCAACTGTCTCTTTCAAACACTTTCTTCTTAACTCCCTCATCGAAATTTGTTGTTCAGCTGCTCTTCGGTCCTATCCTTTTCTTCAAGTGTTCGTCACTCAAATCGGCGAACTTTGTCGTTGCTATGGTCGTTTTCATGAAGATTGATCTACATTTTGCTGGAATTTTTACCAGGTACCCTCTATTACTTACTCAGGTGGAGTAGAGTAAAGGTTTGATGATGTTGATTTTGCTGGAATGGACAAGAAGGAATTTGTCGAGTTCCTTGAAAGATTCGCATTTGAGATATATGTGAATGTGTACTTTTGCATGCCCGATATTGATTTTCCTGATGGATTAAGGTTAATCGCGGCCGACATGGATTACATGGAACTAATCGAAGTAGGGTATGGTTCTAATTGTGTAGTTGATGTATATATGGACCATCTTGGTGTTAATGTACATCAATGGATTCTTGAAGAGCAAGCAGAAGTTTACAGTTTTTTAGACCAATTATCTGGTGCAAATGAAGATCATGAAGAAGTGCACAGTAATATAGATATGGATAATGGAATCGACATGCAAGATTTACATGGTGGTAAGGATGATATCCTAGGTGCAAGGGAGGATTTGCAAAGTGAGCAAGATGATGGCATTCACATGGAAATGGACACTAAACTTGATGAGTGCATTTCTATGAACAAGACAAATGATGATGAGTTTCCGAGTAAGTTGTACCCAAAGGAGCAACTTACCCCCTATAGTCCACCTCGTGAAGATACATATGATCCACCACAAGAAGATGAGGTAATATCTACTGACCAGGCTATTTACACTGAGAATGTTCATTGGAAGAAGCAGAAACCTTTATTAGGTATGAGATTTGTGAGTCCTAAACAACTGAAACATATGATGTTTAACTATGCTATAGCAAATGGTTATCATTTATATTACAAAAAAAAAATGATAGTAGGAGACTATTAGTGAAATGTTGTTCTGGGCAGTGCAAGTTTAGGATATGGGCTTCTTATATGAGTGAGGAAAAGTCTTTCCAGATTAAGAGTCTCATAAATGAGCATAATTGTGCAAGAAACTTCAAGTTAGGTTCAATCGTTAACTATTCATGGATAAGTACCCATTACACAACACAATTCTTATAGAAACAAAAGGTTAGTGTCAGGCTACTTAGGGATGAGGTTAAAGAGAAATTTGGTGTCACACCCCAAACCGAAACGGCGGAAACGTTTGGGGGTGGAGGATGTCATGTATAGTATCACAACAATTGCCTCATAGTAATCAAAGTAAACACAACCATTACATTGAATATATGTAAGGTATTTACATCAATTTGATTCATATTTATATACATCAAAAGTATAGCAAAATGTAAAAGGCGTGACTCTATACACTCCGTCTTCTTAAAAGCCTGCGGAAGTACATGTCTACTAATTTCCTGAGAATACAAGTGGTTTTGAAAGAGTATCAGCATTAAAGCTGGTGAGTTCATAAGCATGTTTTTGTAATGAAAACCTGTTGATGAATCTGTGAAAATGTTTGTAAGTTTCCAAGAAATTCCAATATTTTCTTTGGTAATGAAAAGTATTAACATGTATGTCTGGTTACCACCAGCTGTATTGTATGGTATTGTTTTGAAAACTCTTGTATGGAATTCCCTGGTTACCTCCGGTAATGTATAGTAATGCATTGTATGAAACTCTGGCTAACACCAGTATGTATCGTATGTTATTGTATAAAACCTTGGTTACCACCATTATGTATTGTAGTTTTATTACTTAAAATAAAACCATGAATTGAAATCCCTGAAATCCTCCAGTTGTAGTATGTATTAGTTCTATTAATGAAAATAAAACTATTGAAGAATGAAATCATGTAAACAAAGGTTAGTTTATATTGTTGTGAGTTCGTATAAACATGCTTGATATGACCTAGTGACCTCTACGACGTTCTTCATGTGTCGGACGTTATGATATTTGTCACCATAGGCATGCCTGCCTAACTGTAACTAGCAGTTTAGGTGTGGGATAGTCAGTCCCGAATAGATCTATTCACAAATCTCACGCTCTCCCTTTAGGAGACTTTGGTTATACTATGATAGGATTTAGTCCGCACCCCGAAGGGTACAAATGAAGTGATGTCTCACAACCCTGTATTAACTAGTTTACGTGTAATGTAATGTTCCCTTGTACTTGAATCTATACGTATGTCTTATAGAATAAAAATAGTTATATTTAAATAATTATTTAATAAAGTACTCTTGTATTCAAAAAATAATATACCATAAACTAGTTTCACCATAGTTTATATATTCGTTATGATGTACGGTTCTTGAGTTTGTAAATCGGTGTATTGAACCACAAACTATACCTATTATAGTTTTGTATGTATGTTCAATCGTATGCATTGAATTCTGTAAAAGTTCGATGATGCTCCCAAAGTATATCAATAAAGTTTGAATGTATAATATGGATGGTACTGAAAACCTTGCAATTATCATTATATATTGAAAACTACCCTCATGCTCAGCATGTTACATAAGGGATTAGAATATCTAAATATTTTTATAAAATAGAGTGATTTCTTGGTTTGTATTGATTGCAAAGGTTTTTAAATCCATTTGAAATCATTTTGTATAAAACACAAAATTCTAGTATTTTACTTGTATTCTCCCCCCTGATAACACTAAAAGTAGTAAAAATGTAGGTGTATGAAGTCACAGTTGGTTGCGTGTATGTGTCGGACAACGAGACTGGAAATGAGGACCCTCGAGTTGATGTATGCGACAATTAACGAAATCTTAATAATAATTAAATACATAGTTGCATTTAAATTAGCGAACCCATAAGTTAAAGTGTTAGAAAACACTTGATTTTGCTTAAGGTGATGTTACCGAGACTCGGTCGAAGTGAGAAAATTGGGTTCACAACCAAGATCCACAATTTAGGGTTGATTGTGACCGTGAACTGATTTCGGCCCTTGAACGGTTTACGGCCCTTGAATGGTTTACGGTCTGTTCTTGGTGTTCTTGGTGAAAATATGAAGATTTGAAGGTTCACGACCGTAAACCCAAGAATGAAGAGTGCTTGATTTGATGAAATGATGAATGCTTGATGCTCCAAAACAAGTTCCAAGGTGGATTAAATGATTTTCGGAGTATAGATGAGAGGAATCTTGAGTTTTCGGTTGGTGGGTTCAGAGAGAGAAAGTAGTGTTTTCGGCTAGAGTTGTAGAAACGAGGGTATATATATATATATATATGTGTGTGTGTGTGTGTGTGTGTGTGTGTGTGTTGGGTTTACGGTCGGAGGTGCCCCCCCTGTGGCCGTGAACGAAGAAAAAAAACTTGATTCTTCGCACTAGTCTCGACACTTATATAAATTTAATTTATATACTCTAAGTTGTTCTCACCCCTTATGAGCTTGACAAAGTTGACAAAATAAATAAAATTCAAAATTTTTATTTAACAAGATTTGACTTTCGTTGACTGAAAAAGGTTTGGGTTGTCACATCATTGCCCCGATAAAGGAAATTTCATCTCGAAATTCTAAAACGAATACAATTACGGACTAGGGAAAGAGATGTGTATACTTATGTTGCATATGGTCTTTACGCCCCCAAGTGAATTTGGGTCCCCGCTTGGCATTCCAGCGAACCTTCATTATCGAGATGCGACTTTGTTTCGTTTGCTTGACTTCCCTATCCATGATTTCGAGGGGCTCTTCCACGAAGTTAATGTTGGATAAGGTGTCTAAGTCCATAACTATTTCTGGTATGTACTTGACCCGACCCGGCATGGTCCATTTGGGTTGCATGGCACCATGCAATTGGATAGATTAAATGAGAGAAATAACATTTGGAGATTATTAATATATTATAAGTTCTAATATATTAATAATATTATTTGATTAGTTTGATCAAGAATTAATTTAGAATTAATTAAGTGATCAAAAGATAACTAATTAAATATATGGGTTGATTATGTAAATCATCCATATCTTGTATAGTGGGCTAAGAGGCTCCATGGATTATCAAGTTGGGTTCCACCCATAGGATGCTCCACGGGAGTTACAAACCCATGGGTCATGGAAATGAAGAGTCATGACACATTAGGGTTTACATGGTGTAACCCTAGATGTGTCAACACTATATAAGAATCCCATTCTCCACCAAAATCGGCTACACATATGAAACAAGAGGGCTAGGCCGATTTCAAGAAGTGTGTATTCTCTCAAAAGTCTTTCCAAGAGCATTTGGTGTTGTGTGAAGCATTTGAGGCATCACACTTGGGGTGCTAGGCTCACAAGGTTTCAAGGAACATAAGCAACAACAAGGTAAGTTATTCTATCTTTCATTCAAGTTAAAAATTGTTCCCATGTATGCTAGATAGGAATATAGCCTTGGAATTCAACTTTGCATGATAATTAGACAAACATAGATCCAAGGTTATTAGGGTTGCATGTACACTTAGGAAGTGTTAGAATGCTCAAAAC